CCAAACTACTCTGCACAAACGAGCGTGCGCCTGATCGATCTGTCCATACTATTGCCATATTGGAGTCACCAATACTCTATTCCAGTAGTTATTTGATCAGTGGATCCTCTGGAACTGTTGTGGGGGGGTAAAGGGTTAAACTAAAACTTAAAGTCTAGATACCGGACTACCGGAATTGAGCCGGCATTTTTTTGTTCATGAGAAAATGCACTCTCAGCTATATAAGCGGTGAGTTTTATCACTTTTCCCCGAAAACAGAGATGGGCGAGTACACACTTTTTCGAGTACGAGTATAGGTAGAGTACACGAAAATTTTACTCGAGTACATACTCGAGTTTTTATAAAGAGAAAAAATGTATGAAGTATGAGGTATATATGAAATTTTGTTTTTTCTCTTGTAAGGACAAATAGTTCGCTTACTCCGTCCGACAGTCTTGTTACTTTCATATTGATTACATCATGCTTTTTTCTTATTACACTACAATTCTAGAATAGAACCTACTGTTTTTCTCGGCAATCTATAGTAGATTATAAAGGCTTTCGATCGAGTACTCGAGTACTTTTTCGAGTATTTCTTAGAGAAAGTTGCCAATACGAGTACGAGCATGAGTATCCGAAAAGTTATAATTGTGTATTGTCGAGAACTTTCAATCATTTCTAAGGTCACTAAAAATAAAATGTCTCAAGAAGTCGTGAACAACAACCGATAGAGATCTTGGACACGCATAGCTTTTAGAACAGCGTCTAGTACTTCAAACCGACACCCAAGATCATCAGATTTCTCCTCGTATAGTGCTTGGTTGTTGCAATGAGATGATCAAAACTTTCTTTTTTGTAAACGAAGTAAAATTTCAAAAAAAGCCTGGAATATGTATACATGTTTAACGTGTCATGTTCCACTCGTGAGTGAATATTTCAATTTTTTCTTCTTATTGGAAGTAGTTGACCGAGTGAGTACTGAGTTACAGTACTAAGAAGATATCGCTCAATTCAGAAGGTGAAGAAATATCTGATAGGTTCAATAACGAACTTAACTCGTCCGAAGACGAACGCATTCGAACAGGTTCGAAAGAATTTTAACTCAAACAAATTGTATTCTCACTTTTCAATTTTCAGAATTTGTTAATATGAATAAACCCCTCCTCATAATAGAAGACTATCTAGTCTTCTGTTTTGTCCGGCAAATCGAGTATTAAAGGATGATCTTCTACTGCGGTCAAATTTTGTCGCCTGCTAGTAGTTCATCGGTGACCCTGACGTATTTGAAATCCATCCCCTATTAGAAGAACATTTTGTCGAAAATATTTGGAAATTGCCCATTTTCCGATTTTTTATCGCGGACATAATAGAAGACCATGGTCTTCTATTTAGCTTTCAAGTCATATAATTGGCAGTGGTCTTCTATTATAGGAGGAGGGGTCGTACAGATGGATTTACCCAAGCACACGCAAAAAAACTCGTATGTGGGATACAGCGAGGTCTTGAAGATCCCGAATATCTCTATGCAAGGGGTTGAAGGTTTTCTCGAGACCTCGCAACGTTTTGAAAACCTGCAAATCCGAGACCTCATAATTGAGTACCGGACTCGCTGAAATCATATTTCGAGGGATGCAGCGAGCTCTGAGTCAGACTGGAAACTTTATGGAACAAATACAATGAGAAAACGTTGACTACAATCATCAGAAAATTATTACATTGTCAACCTGTTTCTTTATAACAAGATTCTTTGCCGTACTATACTACATTGACGCATATTTTATCTTGGTTTGTAAGAGAAAAAATATATATTATTGATTCAAAACTATAAGACAAAAGGAAAATTGGATGATACGTACAAGAGTAAAAAAATCACAATACCATGAATAAGTAAACAGATATATGAAAAAAATACATGTGATTTACAGTGCGCTTTAACGTAAAACACATCTTGACTAGAACTTCGAAAATATACATAAGCAGATTTAGTAGCAAAAGGACAGATAAAAATGTTTGTTCTAAATCTAAATTATTAATAGAAAAAAGGAGAAAAAAAAGAGTAAAGAATGTAAGATATAAATTCTAACAAGAACTAAAGAGAATACACGTATAAGTTTCGTTCAAAAATAAAAGAGAGTAGTCTATTCCATTCTAGATCGTTTAGTCGATCTATTATCGTCATCCATTGCAGATTTACGTGGATTTGTTGTAAATGAATAAATATGTTTTGATATATTTATTTCTAATAGTCCATCACGTAACATTAAATATTTTTCGGATCGTTTTTTCGTATCAAATGGTTTTGTTATTTCTAATTGTTGTTCACTACCGTTATGTTGAATTGTTGATGTTAATGACACTGATAATCGATCAATTGTTCGATTAAATTGTGAACACAAACGATGATATTTGCGAAATTGTTGTTTATGTACATTTTCATCAAGAAAAAACGTTAACAATTGTTGACAATAATCACAATCACAACTGATATTTAATTCATCCAATGTCCATTTTTTTATAGGTGGGGGTGGTGAATTACACTCATCATTTAATGCAGATAAACAATATTCATATAAATCAACAAACCATCTGGGAACATTTTGTTGTTTGTGAAATTGTGGCCAAAGTTTTTTAATAAACAATATCAAGGCTGGTTCTAAATAAATAAAAATGTATTCCAAGAAAATCTCTACAGAGCGATTGAATGGATTTTTTAGAGATTCATAAGTTTACTGATAGATATTTGATTTTTCAAAAATAAGATTATTTTGTATGCCCGTCTCTCGCATAAAATTTCCAATTTCTTGTGAAACAGAAGTTGTTACTTCAGCCTTCATTTTTTTTGACATTGATATTGAATGGACAGGTGTAGACCGTCCTTGAATCGCATCGAACTCAGAAAAATAAAAATAAAGAAAAAATTTAGTGTTCATTTATCTTAAAACTTGAATCGATCGGACTCGAAATACAAAAACTCAAGTTCGAGTCTAAGTCTTTCGAAAGAATCGCCAGTCCAAGTCCGAGTTCTTAAAAGCACCTTCCAGTCCGGACTAGGACACGCCCTGGAATTATAATTACCGGTATATATACCGTAACGAAAAGGAATTGTTAGATCACGCAACCTGAGATGGACCGAGATGCAACAACGTCATTAAAACTACTGCGTTGTTATATAAAAGAATCAGAAAATGTATTTCTCATATAGCCACTATCGCATCTTGCCTTCCTGTGATATCATTGTTTATATTACATCATGCTTTTCTGTTACGTTATCTTTTCTTACATATTTTTCTCGACTATATTTCTCGACACAGGCTTGTATCAGTACTGCGGGGTGCTTTTGCTTTCTCAATAAACCATTTGTACATACAAGTGAAGATTTAAACAACTTAGATGGAGTCTAACTCTCAGAACTCATTCCAAAATACGTAGATCTATGAAAGGGAAAAGTAAAGATTTTTGCTCGTATTTTTCTCTCTGTTACCATGTCTAATCAACGATCTTACTTCCACTATTTGCACAAATCTCTCTATCTATCTAGTACTCACCTAAATATCGTTCAGTTATATCATCTTCTTGATCACAACATTTATTCAGAAAATGAATTATTTGTTTCGATATAATATTTAATGATAATAAATATACATCATCAAATAATGAAAGTAATTCCAACACTGAACAAACTGTTATCATCGATGTTGTTTCAAATATTTGTTTTTGTCTAAATATATGTTTCAACAATGTATTGATCATACACATAATTAAACGGTATAAATCATCTTTCATTGAATGACTTAGTTCTAATGTTTGATTAACTAATAAAACAAATGATATTAAAAATGTTGAACTATCAGTTGTATTGGGTGGTAGTTGAGTAATAGCTCGTTGAAATCCATTAAAAATATCAATTTCAATTGTTAACCAATCAACTAAATTACCTAAATTAAACAAATAACGTACAATAGTTTTATCAGTTAATAATTGAAGTATAAACCAATGATGTTGAATTAATCGTCGTATAACATCAATAACTAAAATATCAATTTGTTTTATTCCAGTTTTTATCTTATATAATGTTATTAAACGATTAATTAATGGTGCTACATCACATTTACGCATTTGTTGTTTACGTAATAGACAATTAATTGCTTCAAGACATTCTTGTTTTAATATAATCGATTTTAATTTTGATCCACAATTGGATTCAATTATTGAACACATAAATGATAATTTATGATAAAGTTTTCTTTTTTCACAAAATAATAATTCAAATTTTCGATGATACGGAACAATGACTAATACACCAATTTCGGGATAAGCGTTGACATCGTTACCTAAAAATAAAAGTAAAATTTGTGTTTGATTTTATATGTACTGGACAACGATTTTGACAGTAAAAGCTTTATCTTTAAAAAAAAATTTTGAATTTTTGACCTTAGACCATCATTTTAAATAATATAACAATTTTAATTTAAAAGAAAATTACTCTTTTGACTTTTCTTTTTATGATTGACTGATCCAATTACATGTGATAACACAGGACATTTTCGTCAGCTGTTCTTCATTTTAACTACGTCACATTTAGCGTAAGAACAGTAATTTTCTTCTCAATTAAAATTATTATATTGTTGAAAATGATAGTCTAAGGTCAGAAATTCCAGTTGCTTTTTCTTAATCAAGATAGTTTTTATTGTGCTTGACTCACTAGCAACAAAGACGACATTTTGCGAAAAGAACCTATACTATCGTTTAGAGAAATGATTATTTTTCTCGAAAGAGTAGATAATAGCCAGAATAAATTCATTAAAAACTAAACTTCGTTTTCCACTACTAACGAGGAAACCTATGAACGTGTCTGACTCCGATTTTGTTCGTTCATACGTCAATTGATAGAGGGTTTCGAGCTTGTAAAAAGCCTAAAAGAATATCTGCCGACAGCTCTTGAAGACCCGGTTTTCAGATCAACACCTTTCTTAATGAGGCATACTGGTAGCCCGCAAATTTTTGATTAAAATGAGACATCTCCTAGTTCTACACGACCTTTCTTTGCAAAGTTATAAAATTTACAACAAAAGCCCTAAATGTTCATTGTCTGCTCAAAGCTACAGAAATAAGAAGAAATTAATCTAGGGCTTTTCTTGTAGATTCTCTAACTTTGCAAAGAAAGGTCGTATAGAACTAGGAGATGTCTCATTTTAATTAAAAAGTTGCAGGCTACTAGTATGCCTCATTAAGAAAGGTGTTGGTCTGAAAACCGGGTCTTCAAGAGCCGTCGGTAGATATTCTTTTAGGCTTTTTACAAGCTCGATACCCTCTACCGATTGACGTATGAACGAACAAATCGGAGTCAGACTTGTCCATAGGTTTCCTCGTAAGCATCATTTTTTTTATCTTTACTATCGAATAGATTATCATTCACATGAAAGCTCACTGTCAGTGTTTCACACAGTAAAAAAGTTCATATGGCATCTTTACTTGGAAACTTTACCTGTTTCGCCATTTTCACGAACAAACGTGCTATCGAGATGATCATATATTGTTTGATCAATTAATTTAACATCGTCATCAACATCCACCATTCTAATTGATTCAAAACTTTTATAGGATTCTTGCCGTTTTCCATTTATTAAAATTAAATTTTCGACAAACATATAATTAATCATTACATCACCATCTTCATCAAGTTCTTCATGATGCGTCAATACACCAATATATAACAAAAATTCATCATGTGGCCATAAATGATGACACACATGAGAAGAAGAATGAAAATGTTTGATTGTTTCTAATAACAAATTTATATAGGCACGATCTTTGCTATTCAACGATAGCGAAGACATAGTCGATTTAACATAAATTCCTGTTAATGGAATGATTAATTTTGATACACGATTTGAATGGCGTAACCAGGTTGAAAAAATTTCATTCATTTTTTCTACTAATTGTTCATCTGATTGTGACGGAGTCAAATACATCATTGGCTTCATTGTTTTAGGATGACTTATATCATAAACTAACGTTAATTTAAAACCATTTGATACACGTTGTACTTCATGTTGACAATTATTATAATAAACAATATAGTGTAGACTATTTGCACTATTTTTTGAAAAATCATAAACGTATCTTTCTTTTTTAACAATTAAATGATCCTGACCACCTTCGTATGTTGACGGCAGAACGACAACTAATTTTCCTAATGTACCATGTGTCTTTTCTTCAATTTCATACGGTTTTGAACACGAACCTTTTCCATATAAGACTAATTTTATTAATTTAATATCTAACTGATTTTGTTTAATCAAGTCATCATTTAAACCCAAATCAGTTGGTATTTTTGATTTCATGTCTTCGATTAATTTAGAATTCCATTGTGGATTATTTATAAAAAATAACGATGGGGACAATTCCCATCGATCAGCAATCTGACAGAGAAAAAGAATGTAGCCAGTGTGAACATTGTGTGTATGAAGGAAGTGCTAGGATACTAAACTACAGAACTCAATTTGAGTGCCGAGTTCTTTGACATTCTTTTGAGAGACTCTACTAAATCGTCTGCCCATTGTCTCTTTCATCGAAATGTGGAGTTATACATTTCTGAAGCATTGCATTCTTAAACGCTTACTTGCTTACCAATTCAACACTGTTTCCTTTCTTTATTGATGGCCGTGTGCATTTGTGAATAATTGCATAGCCACTATCAATTGTCAGTGGTAACTGAAGAATACCATTGATTGTAGTAAAGCCATCTAATTGCGGATCACATAAATATTCAAACCGATCACCCGCACAGTATACATTCACACATTCGACTTCCTCTAGTGTTGATTTCAATAATTGTCTATAGTTTTGTTCAGTTACTGCAATTGCAGGTGCATCTGTTGTAGTGCTTATTGGCTCCAGGTTTTCAACTAAACAAGGATATAAAGCAATAAAGAAAAATATCATCTATCATACAACAGTTGGCTCTGGATTAAAGATATGCAATTTTCAGTTGGTACGAGCCCTATGTTACATAAAACCGAAAGAACTAATAAACCGAAAGTTCAAAATAATGCATTTCTTAGGAATAACCAACCGCTAACTGTCATTATCGATTTCGCATATAACCAGTAAACAGTGAGTTAAAAATAGTTAAGTTGGACTTTGCGATGATACATAAAATTTAGTTCGCAAAATCCTTAACACTGTTCATTATTATTAAAAACAACTTCCTTAACTAATTGTTTAGATAATAGAAACAATGCGTTAATTAAAGGAAAAAAGTTCATACTTATCAACTGATTTTCATTATCGAAACTTGAGCCAGTCTGTGACTGATCGACATCCAGATCTGAGGCTAATTCAGAATCGTCTGAAGCACTCCATTCCTGATCCAAATCTAGATTCATACTTCAAGTGCACGGAAGGACAAAATCTAAAAGCACAAAAAAATACGCCTGACATCAGCAATAACAATTTGTTCTCTAGATTCAGAACCTGTTTGTAACTAGATGATCGATGACCATCAACTGCACGAACGTTATAAATATGGACATCAACCAATGAGCATCCTCCGTCACGTTGAAAAGCCATCAGCGTCAAATTAAGAGATGTTAGGACATCTCGAGAGTTTTGAAGTCGTCGTTCGACATGAGAAACATCTCTCTAGCACGGTGGGTATCAACTAAAGTCATCGTTTTACGCTAATACGTCTGTAGTGGTCAGTCATCGAATTACTCACATCCAAATTCACGGGTATAGACAGTTGCTTTTTTTCTTCCCATCAGCGTGTTTGAAAATGGTCAGTTCGACAAGTAACGTGATTTTCATACGAGAAAGAACATGACATGACGATAGCCGACATCAGGATTCAGATAGAAACTTATTTTCATCAGTGATTTAGTTAGAAGCTAAATACTCTAAAAAGAAATCGTTCTAGAGAAATTTCAAAGAATAGTTCTGCTCGCCAGCAAAACGTTTCTTATTTTATTTCTGCTCAGTCTCTCTGAGGAATTTGCTGGACGTCATTTCTATGTGTGTCACAAAGAAGCGAAAAAAAAAGCCCGTATACAATGCATTTAACTTTGAAGCTAATAGTGAATTTGCTCCACAGGAGTTTACTATATTGGGCGATCCTTCCTAGAGAATTGCAAACACTTTGCGATACTATTGACCATTTTTTACAACGAAACAGAAAAAGTAGACTATAAGGTATGTATATATAACTTCTAGCACGTTTTTCAAAACTTTTGTCCGCCTTCTCGATGTAGCTATGAATGATAGTGACATTGACACGCGCATTCTTTTGCAAAATTGTCAAAAAAAGGAATAAAAATGAGATCACAATCATAGTCTGTTGTAGAAGTACATAGTATATAATCACATGGAAAAGATACGTTTATTTCGTGCAATTGTTGTTGCTTCAGCGATACAAATTCATTGATTGAAAGTTTTGAAGGAGATTTCATTTCCCGTTTGTTGATACTGTAGAAGGTGTCCCATACTAAGTATGTCTCTAAGGGTCGCCCCTCCGAAATTATCGCCGACACCGTATATCTGATTTTGACAAAACTTTCCAGAAATGTTAGGCACAATGAGTTACGGGAATGAAAATTCTTTTTGTCTCCAAGTCTTACCGATCAGGAATTTTCTAGAGATCAAGGTTCAAAAAGGAAGGTCTTGAACTATTTCCCAAGTCTTTTTAATATACTTCAAGCCAGAGAGTTTGGGTTTGTTTTATTTTAAACTAGATCTGACTACATGGGCTGACCGGCGCCGATTTTTCAATTAAGCCTTTAAGACAACTAAAAACCTCAAAAATTCGAAAAACCCTTTCTGATTTTCTAGAAATCCTCGATTTAACAAAAAACTATGACCTAATTGAAAAATCGACGTCGGTCAGTCCATGTAGTTCGATCTAGTTTAAAATAAAACAAACTCGAACTCTCCAGCTTGAAGTATATTAAAAAATCTTGGAAAAAACTTAAGGTATAACTCGCATGGAGAGAAAATGCTGTGCATCGGTTGGTCCATTTTAGGACTTGTAGGCAAATGCTTGTAACTTTTTGACGCAATGCCATACAGAGTTGTGCGAGATCTTAAATTGAATACAACAGTTTGCTGTACGGATCTACGCGTTCAGAAAAAATGTAATTGCATAGGTATCCAGGAAACAACTATTATTTGAGGATTATTTCAAAATCGATTTTTTGACCGAGATTCATCATTTCTATAATTCCTTGTCCAAAACATGGTAATTCTTTTTTTCTTTTTTGTTTAAACTCAACACTAAGGAGGAATTCAAGGGATTTAAAGATGGTCTATGTTAAAATTTCTTTTCATTCCGTTAAAAGCTCCAAAAACAAAAATACAATGTAAAAATAAGCGAGTCTGATATAGTTGAAGATGTCAAAGATGCCGGATGGAATGAAAGTAAATGTTGTAGTTTCGTTTGTTTGTATTGTAGTTTTTTGTTATGATTTTAAAAAAGCTATTTTATGTTTTATAGGAAAAGAAAATTGCAACAAACTGCACTCATTTTGCGATTCGAATCTATTTTATTAAACAAATTGAAATTAAGAAGAATAAAAAATGTCATTACTCTTTTGAAATGAACAAAGTTCCTTTCATTACAGTAACTGCGTGTCCACGTATGAGAATTCTTCCATTTTCTTGATTTAATTCACACTGCAGTTCACCACCTCGTTCACTCGATTGATATGCATCTAGGGTGGTTTTATTCAATAATTTAGACCAATAAACGCCTAATACCGTGTGCGCACCACCAGTAACAGGATCTTCATCAATACCATTCCACGGTGCAAAATATCGTGAGAAAAAATCATATTTCGAGTCGTTTCCATTCGTTGTTACAATAATACCCATAATAAACTCCTTATATTGTTCACCGAAATTTATAGTTGTTAAACTAAATGGTTTCAAACTGAGTAAATCATCAATACTCGAAATATAAATTAATAATTTCTTTGTACGTTTACATAATTGAATATCTATAAAAGAAAGTAAAATATAGTATCGAAAAATCGATATAAACGTTTGATACCGTTCTTAGTTACCCTTAATATCTGATTTAATACATAATTTTTGTTTTAATTCTTCAACTATTGTTTCTGACAATAATATTGGCTGAGGTTGTCCTTGAGGAAAATCTAATTCTAAAAAATTTTCTTTTAATTTTCTTACTTTTAATTGACCAACATGCTTTGTTTCAAATATCAATTCATTGCTTTGAGAAAGATGTTGATCAAATAATATGTGAGCGGTTGACAATGTCGCATGTCCACATAGAGGTACCTCATTTTTTGGTGTGAACCATTGTAAAAAATAAGTTGATGTTGATGTCGAAGATTTTGTTATGAATGCTGTCTCAGATAAATTCATCTCTTTAGCAATTTTTTGAAATAATTGATCGAAATCATCACTATGTTCATCATTCATAAATGATAAACAGACACAAGCCGGATTTCCTTTAAATGGATTTGTGGCAAATGCATCCACGGTAAATATTTCAATCATCTATGAGGAGAGAAATAATATATTTATAGTGAACATTCATGGTATACTCCGTTCTACTTTAAATACTCATGTCAAATTACTCTCTATAGAACAGAGTATTTTAAAGACTCAGAGTTTCATAAGGAGCTTAAATAGATTTTCGTGTGTATTATTATTCCCTGTTAAAATCAATGTCTTATGGGATGAAAACCACGTGAGATTTTCCTACATTGTTGTCAATTTGAATGAAGATTTTGTTTTCGTAAAATATTCATGAAAAAAAGATGTTGAGTTTATTTTGCTGTTTCGTGAGTTATATGCACGCATTTAATGTAACTAGAACGTGTAATTTCTTTGTATTTATTTCTCTTTCGTTGTATATAGTCTAGAGCCAAGAGAAAAGAGAATAAGGTTATCTGTGTCATTCTTAAATATGTAAGATGAGATAATAAAACACACAACTCTTTTTCAATGAGTTAATGTATGACAAAGAGTGTTTTAAAAATTTTACATTAATATGTTTCAAACCAAAGATCAATGGTAATAACATTGCGAAGTAGCAGTTAACTGGAGAAGATATTAAATAAGCAAGAGATGTTGGAATGATGCGTGTGATTCAAACTGGTAAATATTTTTTGTAGAAAAAAAGTGAAATTGTATTAATTGAACATGACAGTGATAATAATTTATCTGAATTCAAAACAAAATTAGTGAATAATCAAATACTATGATAAAATATTCTTTGATATTATTCGTATCAGAGCAGTTGATGATTACTAGAGTAAATGACTTAAATTTGCATTTATCGCATTTATGAGATGGAATGCTGTGATTATCTCCTATGTAATCATTTCAGTTCTTCCACAAGATAAATACACTACATCATATGACCATTGTCAATAACACCCTTCTTTGAAAAGAATAAAAATTATAGTGTACAATTTAATCGAGATCTTTTAACGTTTTTCTACCTAATTTTCACGGTTTATTTTCCTCAGGAAAATCACTTCATTCAACGACTAAATAGAGATGAAAGCAAAGAAAAAAAAGAACAAATAATCATACGCGTACCTTATGATAAGACGTTGTCATATACGAGATAATCGTATCGGTTAACACGAATGTTTGTGTCTGCAATTAATTCAATATTTTTATCGTTTATATTTATTAGGATCATAAAATTCTTTTGCGATTTTATGTGAAAGTTGAATTAAGATGTGAATAATACAGTTCATTTAAAATCATGAAGTTTGACAGGTTATGAATTTTTAATATGAAAGACTGTTTATCTTGTCGGTCATTTCACGCCCATAGTGTGCCTTTGATAAATTGAAAACAGTCTTAGATTTACACATACTGGAAAACGTTCATATGGATTTTCAAGTAAACAAAATACTGAAACTAGGGCATAGACTTGTTTATTAATTAATTTTATCAATGATTGATTGTTTCATCTATCTTTTTTAAAAAAAATACAGAAAACAAAAATGCAGAATAGATAATCGGAAAATGTTTGTCTACACATTAAAACTCTCACCACATCCACACGTTCCTTTAATATTAGGATTATTAAATATGAATTCACTTGATAGTTTATTTTGAACAAAATCCATTTCTGTTCCCAATAGTGATAATTGTGCTTTTGGATCAATTAATAGTTTAATACCATCTTGAACAACTTCTTCATCCATTTTTTTCTTTTCTTCTACATAGTCTAATGTGTACGATAGTCCATTGCAACCACGTTGTCTTACACCGATACGTAATGCTATGGAATTTGGTTTTTGTCTCAATAAGTCTTTAACACGTTTTACAGCTGATTCAGTTAATGTAATGGCGGCTCGTGTTGCACCCATTGTTAAACGTTTACCTTAAATAAACATAAAGAATATCGTAAAAATTACTAAACATCTAGTATAATACTTCAACATACCTTTAATAGCTCGAACACTTGATGATACTAATGTTGACGACATTATTTAATTGAAAATAATGTACCGCACGAACAACTTTATTCAACGTTTGAATTTTTAACAACTCGAAAAGTTGATTTAATCAATTCGTCTTGATAATCAAATTTTTTAAAAGTTTTAAAGAATCTTTATAAATAACAATTCGTAGTTAACATCACTAGTACTGATGTTGGTAAATTTTTCATTGCAGATAATGATCTGAATGTGAATCTACTAAGACAAAGTTGAAATGATTTTAATAATAAATTATTGTAATTTTTTACTCGCATCAGAAGTAAAAAAATAATGTAGGAAGACATATTACAAAAATAATGTGACAATTTAATTCTTATTAAAAAACTATGCCAGCAATACAAGAAAAAACAAATAAAATAGCGTTTTCCATTGTTTTTTATTGAATAAACTGAGTAAGTATGTATAAGATGGAAAGAAGAAAAAGTAAAACCTAACAACAACAACAAACACTATAACAAGAACTAACATAAAAATAGTAAAAAAGACAAAAAAAAACTAACGAACGGAATTTCGTTACTTTATTTACACCACTTTATTTTGAATTTCCTAGATGGTTCGATCAATTTCTTCTTTAATTTGATTATTACGCCAATCTAAGGATATTGAATCTAGATGATTATCAAAGTCAACTAATTTACGATGAAAATTCCGTTGTACTAGTGATAAGGCAATATGAGCATGTTCATCGCTTACAGTGTGCCTAGTAAAAACAAAATCGTATTCATTCTTTTGATGAAAGTTTTCCTACTTACATAACGGATGCATCTTTCCAACTTTTATCAATGAGTGATAAAACATTGTAAAATCGATCATTTTCGTCTAAATCTGTTAAACGATTATCGATCTAAAGCGACCAACACAAAATGATCACGTTATTTTGTTTTAATATTAAAAATTATCTCACCATAAACAGAAGTGCATCTGGATTATTTTCCTTAATTTTTTCCATAATTTTCATTGCGATTAAATTTGGTCTAAAAATTTTAAATATGCATAATCTATAGTAAAAGTTCTACCTAAAAAGCAAATACATTTACTTAATATCTCAGATGTTCACTGAGTCTTATATTCAGCCACACTTTGAAATTACTTCCGATCTATTCACCTCGTCTTAAGTGAAGAAAGACTTTTTTCCTCTCCTTAATGCAAATATCTACTCCGACAACGTGTACACGAGACAGATGACTACAATAACCTACTGTGAATCGTTTAAATTTTCATTTGCTTGATAATAACCACTAATTATTAGATTACGTTTCGAGCAATAAGCATCAATCTATAAGTAAAAAATGAATACTTAGAATAGCCGAATCAAGAGCGTTAACAAAACCGCCATCTTTACTTGTGTTAATGAAATTTCTAACATTGGTGTGAGAGATAATATGCCGTGAAACAATGGCACACAGTCAACAAAATGCAAAATTAAATCGGATTTTTGACTTAATAATACACCATTCACTGACAATTCAGGATATTTTGCTAAATGTAAAAACATTTTCGAATACGCAAGTGAATTTATCTCAGAATTCATCTTTGCAAGTGCTTCACTTAATCTGAAACAAATGATGTTGATTAAACATGACTACTGAACAGCTAACACGATAACAGAAAAGAACGAACATTCGCGAACTTTCGAAAGAAGAAATAGATGAGATTTATTAACGGGCAAAGTGGTAAGAAATTGTCAATTTACAGCTCATGATAGCATGAGAAACTGGCTGTCATCTTTGAGCTACCTTAATCGTGCAGCAAGTAAAGCAAAAAACCGTGTCATAACGGTGAAAATGTATGCCAACGTTATTAAATTAGCTAATCTATCGATGACAACACTATAAACAAAACACAAGCTTTAATGGTGCTAACCTAGCGGCTTAAACGTCAAAAACGGATGCATGTTTTAACTGCCATTTTATCCGTTCTTACCTGACATTTATTAGAATGTTTTAAACGTCTGTATGATTTGGTATTGGGGAATGAATAGCCAGTGGGCAGGGTTTGAGTTTGAAAAAGCGCATTTTGCTAAAGAATGGTGGAAGAAAATGTGTTTCATTTATTTCTCTCGGAAATACCTGTCTGTAGACTGATCCATATAATGACTTAAATTAAACGCACTTTTATATAGATTATCTGAACTGAATTCACTGAATCAATATTTTAAATTATATGAAGATTCTAATTAAGAAACTCTTTATAATTCTCGATTTTTTCAAGAAATTCATTATTTTTAAAATAAACACATTTTATATTTTACAGATGCCATTTTCCCCACAATGATGTATTTATCTCAAAAATAACGAATTTCTTGAAAAAAGCGAGAATAGCAAAGAATTTCTCAATTAGAATCTTCCTCTAATTTAAAATATTGAGTCAATGAATTCAGCCCAGATAATATATATGCAAAGTGCATAATCTTGGTTATCATACATCAGTCTACATACTATTCGTTTTAGATTAAAGTTTTTTTATCGAATGCTTTTCCAGAGTTCTGGCTCTTCACATAGCATTGTGCTATTTAAACGGTCGTGGACTTGCGCATTAAAATTGTACCATTACTTCTGAAAAGAAAGAAAGCAGTTGATCCAGCATTGTCGCCATACCCCGTTTTTTAGTGGAATTATTGCTGACTTTATTCCGGTTATTTTTTTCTCAGTACTAAGTGTATCCCCGATTCCTTAGATGTATCTTACATTCAAGCTTTTGCCTGAAAGACAGTGACTAATGGTGGATTTTTGTGGAAGCTGGCAAAATTTTAAAGTATTTATCTTTAGTTATAGTTTGCAACGTTGTTCTACTGTTTTCGCCACGAATTTTAAGTTTTATGTATCGCTTATTTCTGCATATTACTTTTTTACATGAGGTTAACAGCAACAACACAACAAGGAATGTAACAAGGAAATATAACAAAGATTATATTTGCAAGTGAGATTTTTGTAATAAAAATATAAAAGCTAATTATACTTGACTATGATTTGTTTGCAAATCACATAAAGTAAGAATAATTCATTTTAAAACACGCGGTAAGAAAAACCCGACACTTAAACCTCAGGTTGGCGGGACCTGACGGAAAAAAAGCGCCAAAAATCGTCATTTTGGCGTCAAGTTGGATGTGTTTTTTAAAGTACGACACATAACCAGGTTATCCGACGATTAAATTAAACCGTCAGGTTGGAACGGTTAATACGTGCGGTTCTTTTACAGTGAAGAAACTTAGACTGAATGTATAAGAATCAACAAATGAAAGCGTTTTTTCATTAATAGCCGTAACATAACATCATTACACACGTTGTTTCCTTTTAGCTCCAAGAAGCCAGGATTAATGCGAACTGATGTAGATAATCTCTTCTTGGAACTACTATTTGGAGTGGAAAGGAAACAACGCATTACCATTGCATAACACTTCATTGCGATCAGCGTTTTCAATAGGAATTTTTTCAGAGTGGGACTTTCCACTTTGCTGTTAGCGTCAAAGTGGGATTTTTCACTTTGATATGAAACGTAAAGTAGAAAAAATGGGAACAGTTGAAATTTTTGTCTAATAGCGGCTAAAAGAGATCTTTTTATCGTCGCAGGGGTTTCGTTTTATCACTTTCGATCAAATAGACCGAAATTAACTTCTCTAACCAGATGAATTACAAATTTAACAACAAATATTTCAGATGACTCATCTAAAACAAAATGTAACTAAAATAATAGCTATAAGTTGAACACTTCTGAAAAGAAACGCTACAAAACTTGTATACGTTTAGACAGAAGTCACAAATCCTTTTTGACTAATATCCTGTTGATGTTGATCGTCAGACACGAGCCATGGCGTATTGTGATGAAAAGGAGAGGATTAAACAGATATTATACTAGTTCTCTCGCTCACAAGTGTTCAACAAACAGAGATCGATGGGTTAATTTTATAAGGCAGAAAATATGAAAAAAGATAAAGTGGAAGTTTTCAAAAGCAAAGTGGGATATACTTTTCTCAGTGTGAAAAACAGAATGGAAATTCATTATTCAAAGTGGAAATCTATTTTGCTCTGATTTGTCCCACTAATCATTAAACACACTGGTTGCGATCCTTACAAACCTGTGTAAAATAAAGATAAAAAGATAAATAAAAAAGTTAAATTATCCGATTTAATTTGTGAAGATGGCGGTCCAACCAATCAAATCGGACAATTTATCTTTTTTATTTATTTTTATCTGTATTTTGCACATCGGAGCGATCCTTGCTCAGTTACCTTTTCTCTAACTCTTGATTAGGTATTGCCGATGTCCAATACAAATTTAATAATGAGCCCTGTAGAAATAACTGCGCTGTCATAGTGACAGCTATCTTAAGGATGTCACTTATATCAGTTCTTAAATTGGCAAAAGCACAAAAGAGATAAGAAAGAATGCAACAGCTGAGTTATATTTAGTATTTTCCAACTGTTTTTTCGGTTTGTCTGGATGTAACTGATATATTACTTTATTCGTTTTACTTTAACGTACATATTCTCTCTCATAAAAACATATGAAAACTACCCGCTTTTTATCCGCAACGATTCCAGCCGGGAGACCGTCATATTCGGATCGGGCATGTCGAGAAACCTTTTTCACCTAAGTTTGAGCTTGAAGGAAGACAAAAAGTTCTCCTCGAAATTTTTGCCTGAGGTCCCCTGCCCCTCAGATGGTTTGCCTAAAATTTTGAACAAAAACTTTTTTTCTCGAAACACATCGAATTATATATCATTCAATGCAGTTTTTCGCATAGATTCCGAATATCACATTGGTTTTGCATAAAAATGCTTCTGAACGTTTAAAAATTAAGTTTTCGACTTTTTTCGTTCTGCATATATAAGTTCGTGTTCACTAGCTGTGAAAAAGAGAAAATATTTTTTTCTTCGCTCTTTTCTCACTTCCCATATGGTAAAACACGTTCTTATTTTTCTAGCGTGTCATCGATATAAGAACATTTAGTCGATTTTTATATTTTGTGATTTCAGTGAGCAAAAGCTGTCTCTCAATCACATACTGATAATTTACCAGTATACGTCAAATTTTAAGCTCTATCCGAATTTGACTGTTTGGCATTTCGGAAACACGCGCAATCCGGAATAGATGGCTTTTTAGAAAAATTTAATTAAGACAAAGCTCGTTTTCAGATTTAACTGCCAAATTCTAAGTTTTAGTTTTAGCTCATTATATCGAGCACGTAAAATTACATATGCTTAACTATTTTTGCACTATTCTTTTAGTCTTTTTGAGGCTTTTTTGCTGTTGAACGGAAATTAAACAAAGAAGTAATTTAGATCGGTATACTTTAAAGGAAAAGCATTTAAGAGCCTTTTTTCTAGAGTAAGAAATAATCAGAATGTTCAGGATATGATCAGATACGTTTCTTGAATACTTCAAACGCCAATAGAAATTTGAACTCATACTTTTATCTTCGAATAGTTTCTGAGAAAACTTCTGAAATTTCTCAAGCAGGTTTTCACTTAATTCATGATGACACCAAAAAGCACAAGTTTTATGAGCAAGAAGATTCCCTCTCTAAAGTGTACTTTCAGGCTAATTTCACCATGTTTTAGCCGGCTTTCTCTTCGGGAACATGATGGAATTCATTTCAGGTTGAACTAGAGATTTAGCTCAAAACTAGTAAATCCACAGCAACTTTATTGACATCTCTTAACTCTTCGACTGTTAGCCGAACCAAGTCTTATTGTCTGTTGTCCTTTCAGTATCAAAGCATCAGTATTAAATACAATTGATTTTTCTGGTTTTCATTTTCCAATGAACCGCTATCCAAACATATGGCGTTCCTTGAATTAAATCGACGATCTGTATTTGCATATTTGTCTATTTGAAATAGACAAATACGCAAAGAGGGCAGGCTATTACTCATCAATATTATATCAATAGTTTCCTAAAACTACTTGTCAACGAAATGAGAAGGCAGGGATTATCACATAGTACTAATACCATCAAAGTTTATCATGACAGCGTTCGACAATATACTCATAACAACATTTTTACTATCTCGAACCAGAATGTGTCATAAATATTTTACATCCACCTTATTCCACGGGTCCGGTACTTTTTCTAATTGATAAACTTAATCAATCAAACGGTCCCTAATAATGGCATTGACTGCCGTAACCAAAATGATGAACTTTTTAATCGAAGATGATCTGAAAAAATTTCCAACGAATGTCTTGAAATAAACTGATTGTGCGTGGGTATTCATGACTTCTAGCTCAAATACTTGCTGAAGTAAAATCCTGATTAACTCTATTCTGTGACGTTTTATCTGTAAATGCCAGTACTTTTGGTATGACCTAAGTATACTCAATTTTCGTCTTCTCCTATTATTCCGTATTTTCTGCATCTACAAGGTACTGCTGGAATCATATTCGGAAAGTTTGAGCTCATTCAAATCGCTTTTGATTGATTGATTTCAGATTGCTTTCTGTTACAAAAAATATGCCCTCGAGTTTCTTCTTTCGAGTGGCGAAAACCGCAACTCTCTATCTGAAGATCAACTTGCGAAAGATCAGAAATTACAAAAGAATAATAAGAATAAAAATTTATTTTCCGTTTTGTGAAAAATAAAAAATAAGTTTAAAACTAACAAGATGACAAAAAGAATAAATTAACATTTTCTAGATGCATTTGGATATCGAAAACGAATATCTTCTTTGAATTGTTCGTACAACAATTTTGATGTTTCATCATCAATTAATTCTGTTGATTGCACCTCATTTTTATCAAAAAAACCTTTACGATATAAAAACACATTATTTAACACTGCATAGTCATAACCTGCCAGATAGGTTTCACAACACTAGAAATAGTAATCAAAATGAGTTAAACTGTCGGAGTAAGAGATGAATAAATTAAGTCTTGAAATATACAGTGAAGACTTCTAAGGCTAACATTACGCAAGATACATTGATGCTTTTTCTGATACGATTATAACTTACTCGATCAAATATTATATTTCTGTACACTATGCTCATCTCATTTAAAAACTATCTCTCATAAAAATATATTTTTTTAAAACTCATTCTATCCTTACTTGACTAATCCTAGCGTGTGCATGTTGTTTAAATCGTTGATCATATTGTGGCACATCAATCGGTCCAACATACAAAGGTTCCCATGGTGTTGAATAGTGTGGTCTAAACAGCGGTATAACTTGATCATTTTCAACAGCTTCTTTCCATGCCGTATAATTTGTTAACAGTTGACATTGTGGACAAATATTCGTTTTATACGGTTGAATTTGTTTATCATTCCACGATAGTATTAATTCACGCTTATTCTGAGGTAACGGTTGTATTTCTAAGATATTCGAATGAATTTCAAACACGGGTAAAACATAGACGGTACGATTTAATTTTTCTTGACTGTCAATGGATGTAAGAAAGAGAAATAGATCGTGAAATAAATCGGGAGATGGAATAATATCGATATCGAGAGTTAAATGGTAGGAAACATTGAAACCCTGACGCGCAACATTTCTTAAGAGATTGCTTGGATAAGGAGTTGTATCCATGTCATCAGTATGATTAACATAACGAATATGTGCACAATTCATAGCATATTTAACGTCACGAGAATGTTGTTGACCAGAGAGTGATTCTAAAAAATAAACATTGTATATTCACATACTAGTACAACAAAATATAAAATAAAGATAAATATGATTTGATTTGAATAAAACTAAATTATATTCTAGACTTTATCTAAAATAGTGATATATTTACCATGAACATGTAATCTACTTCGGACAGATAGTTCTGCAGTTTTGATTACATGTGAACAAGAATCTGTCGACGAGCATTTTTCTCCAAAACTAACTTATAGCATTGCGCTTACTTTCATAAGCTGTTGCTGATATGACTAGATGTACAGATAAATGCTTAAATATTTTTCTATTACATCTTAGCCACATTGATGCATAATCAATATGATTTGATGCTTTTGTTCCTTTAATATATAATGCAATACTGATCGGATTCGGCCATAATTTAGCATATAATACGAGCAAATTTAATTGTTCAACGTTACAATGTAAATTTAATGATAATAAATCTGTACGAATTGTAGATTTACTACGATATTTTAGAAAATTTGTTACGATTAAATAATTTCCTGATGAGTCAAAACGTTTCTCGGTTTCAATTTGTTTATAATGGGGACGAGTATCTAAAATGGAATAAAAAACAACAAACAAATAATACATAGAAACACGACTCAATGAATATTCAAGAATGAACATACCGTGATCATAATCTGTTTCATGAGTATCGTCTTGTGTAAAAAAAATAGTACTAAACAATGTTACATTGATTAAATTCATAATCAGCAGAGTAATAACGATAATACATATTATTTTTAGTATTCGAATTAGTCTTGATTTTGTTTGACAATAAGTACGATAAAAACGTTTTGTTCGTAAATAATATCGATACACTACTGACATAATTTTCTTCTATGTTAAATTTCTGTTACAATTTTTATATACAACAATGTCAATAATTAATTCAAACAGAAATTAAACCACTTATTTTGTGTTTCGTCAGCGGCTTCAGATAATAATACTAAATCACCTTCAAACTCGTCTAGTAAATCCAAAAGACTATATCTATTTTTTTATTTGTCTTTGTTTACCTTATGTGTTGGTACTACTCCACTGGCTGTTTGATTTTTGCCCGTTTCACCAATACCACCACTACACAACGTTACTGATGAACTAGTAACAACACCTGAACTACTATTACTTGTGACAGTCGTTACTAATAAATGATGAGAATTTTGATTAATGTTTAGATTATCTAAATGTGGTAAATCATTGAGTAGCCAATTATAATTGATGAATGCTAATTTTTGATCGTCATATATACAAAAATCATCCATAATAACGAATTTAAATTAGATTTGAACATAAAGGAAAGAAAAAGCAAAGGATGTATCTAAAATAGTAAAAACCGATAAAAATTAGCAGTCAATTACACAGTCTAGTTGAACACTAGTCTTTATTAAAAAATGATTTGCTTAATACTTAGGTAAAATCTTTACTCTAAAATGGGCGTACGAAAAAAACTTTATATATGACATCATTAGTGATGAATATAAACTTAGAATGTAGATAATTTATCTGTAGAGCGTATAATCCATAGTAATATACTTGGTATCATTAGAGTAAGTAAATTGAAAATTTCAAAATTTTAAGTATTAATTTTTATCAAGTTTTGATTTTATTTCTATACACTCAAATATGCAAGTTTTGTTCTTTTTTGACACAATATCACAATAATATCTTTATAATACATTACACAATACATTTTTTCTTATTTAATACCACATGATCCTTTTTACATGAACCATGGATAAATATTTCAGTTAAAAATTGATAACTGGAATCCTCTGTTCTCAATAAAGATATATGATTTAGAATAACCAAATAGTTATCATTTTGAGCACTAAATACATATTTGTTAAAGCAATCCTATATTAATTCAACAAATGTAAGATATTTTAATCTTTCAATCTGTTTTATTATATAGAGAGAAATTGTTAGAGATTGAAGCGAGACGTGTTTTTCATCTCGTCTCGCACAATGGGCATCAAGGTGGAATATTAGCAAAAAAATGGGTGTCGATATATTTCAAGTTTCATGAATGGATAATAAAGTATCTGTTCCTATAAAAATATTTTTTCTCTCGCTTCTTAAGTTATAATAGTCGTACAAATTACATTCTTGCAATATGATAAATGATTTTTTATATTAAGAACGGTTTTAGATATAAATTTAGCCATATCCGGCTACTTGATAACGAAAGAATTTGCAAATATGAATATAAATGTAATGAGAGAAAAGAATATTTTTTATGTTAACAAACTTCTCTGTAATAAGTGTAGTGTAACGGGTTTCCTCTTTTTTTCCTCTTGAATATTGCTCAAACTTATAGCAGAATGTTTGTCTACATCTAGTATATTAGTGGTACATGCGGAAAAATCTATACAAAACAAGTATAGAAAATCGCATGTTAATCTATACGTTTTCTTTTTTAAATCTGACTTTTCAGTTAAATTCATTTTTTTCATTCGGAAGCATTAAGAGTATCACTCACTCTTTTTATCTTGTTGCTACAGGTGAAAGCAACGGTACGACTGATCATAAATTTATATCCAAAATAGAACATTGGAAAGAAAATCGATTTAACTCTGACTTATTTCTAGAAAGCTTTGAATAGAGTTTTCTAGAAATTTAGTTATTAACCGGATTACACTACTAATCTCCTAAGAGTTTATCTGATCGGACTGCAAACTGTAACTTAGATACTTGGGACGATATTTCAAATCTTCGAAATTTTGTTTTTTGTTTTTAACTTTTCCTTCTCGAGTTAGTTATACGTTTTTTAAAGCAAAAATCTTAGGTTTTCATAAAACTTTCTTAATTTATTGCATAACTTGCGAAGGAAAAGTCAAAAACGAAAAACAAAAATTTGAAAGGTTTAAATTAACGTCCCAAGTATCTGTGGTTCAATTTTGAGCTCACTTAGATGCAGTTTGGATGAGATTGCAATGTACGTGAATTGGAACTATCAATGTGTTTAGGATTACAACCAACATTAGATAGATCTTTTTCTCAGAATATCTGCAGTGATGCTCACATCTCTGGAAAAAAACATTAGATGAAATCTTCATACCGTTTTGACAAAAAAGTCGTAGATCAGAAATGATCTTATTTTGCAGCTCAGACTCTACATCTGACAACACTCGACTCAAAATCGAGAAATTTTTTAAAAAAGAACGTGTAGATACCCTTAAGGAAAAACTAGTGTTGCCGAAATTTGAATGAAAAACCGCACTGGATGATCTACAAAACAAAAATTATTTCGAAAATCGATTCCAATCAAAAATTTCGATTCTGACAAAACTTAAATATTACATTTTTCCCTATTAAAAGAATATGTTGACCACTAAAGAACCATACTAAGACAGAAACAGAGATTTATATAATTATTAATGATATGTTCGACTGATAAACTAGATGTGATCAGCCGCACAATTAAAATTCTTTCTCATACCCATGGGGATATTTTGTCGAAGTTTCAAGATGTTGGGGTCATGCAGTTGCAACATCAAATGTGTGGTCACCAAAAGTCTCAAATTATTTTTTTCGAATGTGGGACAAAATGGGGGACGCTTATTTTAAGGAAATAACGTTATGTCAATCTAAAATACCCGATGAGCTCAACCAAAATCACATATTACAAATAACTAAAATCAATATTATAAATTTTTTAACCATTTACCGTTAGAATTACACTGTCATTTCTTCTTACAGTTCTAATTTAGAGCTCATTCTTTCAAAGCTAATTTTTCAAATTTCAAACAATAGATTTTTCCTTTTAATTAGGTTTTATCGACAAATTCATATCACACATCTGATAAACCCTGGGAAGTGCACGACAGAAAGAGTGATGGTTTTGGAGACGGCTCACGAATCTCAGAATAACTCTATTTGCTATAAACTATCCAAACACTTATATGATAATGATCTTAATGACAAGATATGCTAAAGAGGGCATAAATCTTTGCATATCATGTAATAACCCGCCCATCTTTTTATCACAAATATGACGCTGAAGTAGCAGGACTTCAAATAAAATTGCCAGTGGGGGACGAAATACGTCCCCCATGGGAGATTTATTTACTGGAGGGACAAAATGGTCGAATGGGGGACATCAGAGAACCCTGGTGAACACGTGTGAACTTTTTATAAGTTCACACACGTTCACAAGCGAGAATGTCTTTTCATGTGTGTTCACATACGTTTTGTTTTTATCAGTAACCACATGCGAAGAATATGAGGCGAAAAGTTTTCGTGAACAGCTCACGTGTTGTCACAATGGAATATATTTTTCACGTGTAATAAAATTATAACACACTATTTATTATACGATATTTACTTGTGACCACAGTTCGTTTCGCGATATTTACGGGTGTACAAGCCGTTTTATATACTAAAATTTCCCCATGAGTAATGAAGTGGTATGCTGCTTTTCTATGTGGATCAATCTTTTTTGTTTTCATACTTGTACTACACAGCACATTCCATGCAAACGACAGAAATTGGTGGTTATTCGTGTTAAAATATAAAGAGAGAGAGAGTTGAATAGTAATAATTGATTTACGCATCAGTGGTTAAATCAATGCGTAATCGAACGTGTTAGTTATTGATAAGGGTATCGAAAACAGTATTTTATAGTTGTGAAATTAATGAAATACATTATTCACATAAGAGTATACGAATAAATCAACGAACAATTCAATAAACAAGTGTGCTATTTGAATTGATATTAAACCTCAGAAAAGTTGCATAAAGGAAAGAAAGAAGTTTGTGTGTTCCCTTAGAATGTTGAAATTTGGCAGAAGTTCTCTATCGTAACAATATTAAAGATAGATAGTTAAAATTTCATTTTGATCTGAACGCCAACAGCTTCAATTTTCAGTTATCCATCTATGATTAACTCAATATTCAACATTTGTCTATAACTACACACTGTCAATGTAGATGCAGTGTAGAAATAATTAATGTTCTAATATTTTTTAAAAAAATATTCAACGTCTGCACTGAAATAAGTTGGACATGTCTCGAAAAAGGTAACTATTTAAATGAAACAGCAAAAGAAGGTGTACCTAGACCACTCTGGGATAGTTGGATAACGTAAACATTAGACAAAGTTATAGACAATTGCGATAGAAAAAATTGAACAAAGAACACAGCTAATTTACGACAAAAACCAATGTCTTCCTGTTTTACTATGAAACGCTCGGATGACGATTAGTATTGCGGTAAAACAAACGCATGTATATATGTATGTTTCTTCTATGAAAGACAGTGATATCATTTCTTAATTTTCTCGTATTTGCTCATTTTTCGACGACTGCAATTAGTGCTCAATTATTAAAAAACGATCGCTAGTAGAAAACGATACCAGAATTACACCAAAAAAAATCGAAATCTCATATTGGAAAAAAATGACTTATGTGTTTTTTCCGATTCTACAAATAATTTTAGAAGAAGTTAACATTTCAACTTCGTGATGTCTAAACACTTCTTTCTTTAAATGATATTCGAAGTAGAGTCAGGAAAATTCCTGGTCTATGCAATGATTTACAGACTCTTGTATAAACAATTATACAATAATTACGGGAAAAGTTTTCTTTCGACATTTCGATATACAATTGTCCATACTGTTTGACTTTCCAATACTCACTATTTGCTGTACCAGATTATCCATTGTACGAATTCAATTCTTGTCGACTTTTGTCGTTAATGGTGATCGTAACAGGTGAAGGATTCAGATGATTCATAAGAACATTTACGGTTCAATCAAACAGAAACATCTCATACGTAGCAAGAGAAAAATATCGAGAGCTAATAAACAACTTACCACCAGATCTAAAAAGCTAGCATGCTATGATATTTTTACAATAAACGTAAGATGGTTAATGCCACCTAATATCTATTAATGATAAATCGTCGACGATAAGAAGGACACAGAGATACAATAATTCAATGCAAGGCTTTTAATTAATAAAACGACGAGTAACAGCAAAGACTCATCTTTGATTCAGTTATGTAAAGCATTGCATTCACTCTTTTATTCTAGTTGTTATATATGCTTTTGTGCCATTTATCAATTGAACTTTAAGATTAAACTATCAGAAACTTGGTGTTTTGATTTCTTTATATTATATTGAAAGAGTCATTATCACATTACATACAGCCGTCGCAAAATTAGTCACAGATACAAAAACGTTGTTTGTTAGTCATCAAAGAAGTGCTTTGCAAGATTATTCAAGCGAAGCATAATCTTCGTTGTGATTAGTTGTAAGCGAGAAAAAAAGTATATTTAGATACATATTACTGTTCTTACCCATTGCGGTATTTTTTTAAAATGTTTGTACCACGAGATTGAAAAACTTAAATTTCAATGGACTGACAAGAGCACTATGTCTTAGATATGACATATTTCCGCTTTTTAAAATTTTACCATTGAGAAGCTTACGTTTAAATGAGACAGGCTCTTTTTCTGTTTTCAAACAAACGCAAACTTTTTATTAAAAGATTTAAAGGTGCATTTGCTTTCAAAGAAAAACTGTTTGCGCTTGATTGAAAACAAAAAGCTGAAGAGTCTCTATTCACATTTGACGTGGACCGTCCCTTTCAGGCCTGTTTTTAAACGCCATTCTCTTTTAAAAACCAACGCAGACAGTTTAAAAGAAGAAAACTTTGTGTTTGAACGCAAGCATTTTTAAAACAACCCGAGTCAACGTTCTTGACTTAGACAAAATCCCACGCACTTCCTATCAATTTCCTGCTAGCATCCTACCTAAATCCTGTAAGGATCTTGATAGGATTTCTCTACAATTCGATCAAAAAATGTATAGGTTTCTTACTAGGGTGTGACCATAGCTCCGTGACTCATTAAAATGACGAATCGAACTGAAAACGTGCACTTTCAAAGATGAAAGGATAGTTCTAGGAACAGATCTTTCCTCCAAGACGTACAAATTACTTGACTTATCTTCCATCTTTTTTGGAAACATTTTTCAGACATATTTACTAGTCCTACTTTTCCTATAGCTTTATTAAGAAGAATTACCAATCATCTCCACCATTTATATCAGGTCAGTGGGAACTCTGCAGTATATACCTTCCAAATCCTACCATAAGACATATTATGAAAATTTTACTATATCTTTTATAGCAAGTCTGGATCCTAACATTGAGGATTATCGAGGACCCTACTGTAAGAAACAGTAGCACTAAGGCTGGACATATAACGCTACCATTTCTTATGATAGGATCCTGTCATAGAAGTGTTTCGTATGTGTTTCATATGTGTTCAGATTCACAGTAAGTAAATGCAGCACAAAACGTCTTCGTTAGCTATAGAATTCAGATGGAATTTGTGTCGCCGTTCTTTAATGCTTAATTGTTCGACGTAAGTGAAATTTGTCGTTAATACAAGAGTTCCAAAACATGTCAAAGTCAGAAGCAACTTCTTTCACAATATATAACAACTTCGTAGCACCCCTTCAGACATGCAACGCCTTTTAGTTGCCTCCCTTGTACTTCGTCCTATTCACACACTTATCCGTTTTTTATTTGTTACAAATTTATCACAATAACATATTTCACGAAATTCGGGCCGTTTACGCGCTATGCATTCTGAGTCGCGTCCATATTTGTTGATTCTTGACAAACGGCGTTTTTGAATATCAAACGTTTCTTGTAGGACATCGTGCCCAACAGTGATTTCAAATTGTCCGTGTCCAGGAATGGTTTCTAATTGAAGCTGATACAATGGCATTCGTTGATCTTTACGAACTTGTTTTTCGACAGTAATATTTGATTGTGGATTAAATCCTGGCACACGTCCGTCTTTATCGATCGACTTAACAAATTTCAACATCATGTCATTAGCAGCTAATTCTTGAGCTTTGTGTACTTGGAAGAGCTTGAGCTGAGCACATTCATTTCGAACATCAGATAAATACGAGTTCAAATAGTCGACAACAGCTTGACTAATTTTTTGTATAAGTGGACGAGTTTGATAATCGACAATCGGTGTCCATTGTAAACAAGCACACCAGTGTGACTCGACGGCAGCACTTTCACATGTACGATTATCGGGTATCGGGTGAAATAGCGAATAAGAACGATTTGATTTGGGACGATAATCGCTGTCATCTTGAAAATTGAATAAATTCAAAAACGTTTCATGAATATCGAATGGAGTGGTTAAACGGTGAGAATTCAATCTAAAAACAATTAACACGTCTCTGAAGAAATTATTGATGATTTATGCAAAGGTAAAACACATTAAAGTTCAAACCTTTACCTTAAATTTCTAATTAAATGTGGATATCTTTTATGAAATATCGGAGGCATTCGAATAGACATGAATGGAAGACGTTCTTCGAGCTTTCCTTGATACGATTTTCTCAACTGTGAATATCTCGCACCATGATCTGTCATTATAATTAGCATTGTGTTATCCAAATATCCTTTTGTATTCATATGAACTAAAAAATCGTGTAATTCTCGATCAGCGTACGGTAAACGATTATTTGTATCATGAGAATATTGCGAATGAAATAGAAAAGAAAACTTGGGTTGTATAGGATACATCTCAAAGAATTCTCGCATCCAATTGAGCATGTTTTGATGGCGCGACACCGATCCAAAACAGTAGGGTTTCGTTGTACGCATTGACTCAGCTACGAGGAAAAACGGACGCATATAATGATCGACGGGTGGATCGCGAAAACCTAACAGACGCATTTGAAATGTTCCCACAGATTGACCATCTTCGCCCCACTGAGTTACATAACCATTATCTTTGAATTTGTTCCAGATCTAGTAACGAGAAAGAATCATTTTATACACTAAGAAGATTAAAATTCGTTTTTTGAGAGTTGAAGACAATTTCTTTCTCTAAAAAGTTGCACAAGTTGATCTGTATCATGTTGTGCAGTCATAATGCTCACTCGTGAAGTATTACTTTTAGAAATTTCTGTCACAGTCCACTGTAAAATTTCATGGTACAGACGCATTTTTCATTCATTTTTCTTAAAATATTGTACTTGTACGCACCTTAAACGCGTCTGTACGATGAAATTTTCCAGTGGGAGCTCTTATGTTTTTGCTTAAAATAATTACTGATATTATCAGTTTTATCCCACTTCTTACCCATGGATAACGATCAACAGTTTGTGCACCTTCGTGACCACGGCGTGATTCAGGTAATTCCATTTCTGTTTGACTCGTCAGAATTGGTAACAACGCTGCTGGAGTACCATCCCCAACGATATTGTAGCCTAAACTTCAGCAAAAGAATTTTATTCTTCAAAAAATATTTATTAGGATCTAGGTGTAGATGCTTGCGTTTGTGGGACTGTACAAAAACTTTAGTCTGTCGAAAGATGATCACAGGTTAGAAATAACAACAAATATTTATGGATTATCTTGAGATACAAGAGCAAGAGACCAAAAAATCCGATCAATTACCTATTCCTCGAACACATACCTTTCATGACCACGGCACCCAATTGTTGAATTAAATATGAATAAGTTTTTGGTAAAAGTCTCATAAATGTCATTCGCGATATCGAATCGAAGCCAAACATCAGCACATTATAACCCAAATGTGTTTTGACCATCGGATTCCAAATGTGTCTCATATGTAAGCCAGCATCAAACTGGATTCCACTGTGAATATTACTGTAAATTGATCCATCACGTGCTCGACAATCAGCACGAAAAAAGTCGCTAACTAACGGCATTTTATCAACAACGGGAAACAGACGTTGCCCTTCAACTGTACTAAAATCATCTTTGCCGCGTAAAATTGGACGATAAGCACAGACAATTGGACCGTGTTTATGTAGAGCTTGTTGTGATAAACGAAATGTACCTAAATACAGAAACAGAATTAACAATGATACTAATACTACTAATAGCTTGAGAAAGTAAAGAAGTTAGCTAATCAGTTATAAAACCAGAGAGTAGTGCAGTAGACAATGGAATACAAAAAGTGCGAACAAATCATGTTTTCTTTTCTGTTTTTGTGTAACTTAAGTGAAGAAAGTAAATATTTCAAAGCTATCTAACTAATAGGTTGATTTTACCATTTTCAATGTAGACCCAATTGTGTGTTTTTTCGCATTCCAAATCGCCTTTTACTGGTTGTAAATATTTCCATATATCAGGACTATCGATATCCAATTTTGGATTTTTGCAAGTCAAATGTGACAGATTAAAATAATCTTCTTTTAATAGCTGAATATTTGGCAGTATTATTTGAGGTTGCTGTCGTTTTGATTCAACTAGATCCGATTCATCAACTAGAGTTTGTTCATCATAATCACTATATACATAGAATCGTCCATATGATAAATGACGAAGAACATTTGAAAAAGATGTGTACATTAATAGAAACAATGTACATGTAACTAAACTAAACAAAGCAGTATAACGATATTTTGAATAACGTAAACAACGACGAATCATAGCTTTCTGTAGACGAGTAGATAAAGATGTAGGAAGTAGGTAACAAGTGCAATTTAATTAATAAGTGCTAGTAAATAACAAAAATTCAGGATATTTTTCGTTTTCTTCTTTTATATTTCCAACAATATGAACCAATCATAGGCGAGTTAAAGATGTTATAGAATAATAATAATATGAATTAGCTAACAGTCGAACGTACATTGAATTAATTAATTAATGTTTTTGTTCATTAGCAAGTGCAAGTGATCTAAATAAGTTTAAAATGAAAACGTCTGTTAAATGAGGCAATACTACTAGATTCGATTGTTCAATTACCAACTTTGGAACGTAAAGTTTTCAAAAGTCAAAGTGACATCCTCTGAAGAGCATCAGATTTCTAAAAATTTTCTGTGTATTTTGCAATACAACCTCTGACAATACTTTAGTGACAGACTTTGGAGAGTAGCAGACTTTCTATTCTACAGATTATCACATTTATTTTTAGGTTATTTCCTTTCACCGTAGCTTTCACAGTTTACTGTAGTTGATCCTTTTATCACACGCCTTTTCGTACAGTTAGTAACAACAACCATTCTAAAGAAGTCGATATATCTATAACACGTTCGTTTATTGATGACGAGGGCAGATGATGCTAGTTTCTTGTTAGCATAAGAAATGAGGAGAAGTAGCAACTGACTACAGTCTAAACAAAATTTGTTCTTCAGGTTTTCAAAGAACATAAAAATCGATGGAAATTTGTTTGTCATTTGTCCTAAATAGCGAACTCAAAATTTGTTTTTCGTTTCCCAAAGAACAAAAAAAATCAGTTTTTCACAAATTGAATAACTCATTTTGTGTTTTTGAGAGCTGAAGAACAGAATCTGAGTTCTGTTCGCTATTTGGGACAAATGAAAAACAAAATTCCCATTGATTTTTATGTTCTTTGAAAACTTGAAAAACAACTTTTTTTCAGAGTGTAGGGACTGAAACTCTATGGATATATAGCAAATAGTGTCTGTTAATATTCTCTCTTTCCAGAACAATAAAAGTGATTGCCGTATACGTCTACCTACGCTTGGTTTACGAGTGTAAGGAGATCGTAAACGACTGTATCACACTTTAAACAAATCCATCTTAAATAAGATGGAAGAGAATCAGCGGATTGGAAAGTTTTAAATTTAGACACATGAATCCAACTATTTCGTAAGCGACTTATGCCATCTTATTTCAAGACAGATCATAGGTAAAGTTACTGCGCTTTTCGCAGTACTGCTCGTATTTAGCAAATTCTGAAAGCGGTTTGAACTCTAACTAGGCCAAACTGTGTTTTTCATGCTCAGTTTTGCATGAAAAATGAGGATAAAACATTTTTAGAATTTTAAAAGAATAAACTTAAGACTTTACTTATTATTCAAAATGTCACTCAGTTTTGGTTGTTTTCAAAAAGTGAGTATTTTATAAATGTTTTATTGAAAAAGTGCCTCATCTTTTTTAGTTAACTAACGAATTGAGTAAGACTATTTAGGCTGATATGTTGGACTGGGTGTGTTTGAATCACTCAAGCAACGTAGTGCAAAACTTTAATAAATAGAAATACGAGACCCTTTAACAGCGAAAGACAAAAAAACTGAAACAGGATCCAAGTCACATCTATCTTCAGCATCTGCATGACTGCACTCAAAGAAAGACTATTTTTCTACACATAACTCAGCAAGAGGTTGAAGAAATCACACATTACAAAGTTTATTAAAACAGTTGCCATACATGTCGGGATCGTAAAGTCGTGCTGCTTCAATGACTCGAACAAGAATAAAATCGTAATAAGAGACTCTTTGACTTTATATATATGATCATCTACGCCTTCAGGTATATAAAGAACGATTTTCCGAGCAGAGGTATTATTAGTTCTATTACATCTTTGGTTTAAATCTGATTCTTGTTTTGCTTTCGCGCTGTTCTTGTCCTTTCTCTGTGCAAGAACATAAGCGGATCAGCACTCGAAAGCTGATGTAAGATGCGGATGCGAGTCAGTGGTGGTATGCTTGTTCCGGTGACGTATGATATGCTTACTCATCGATAGACGTGTGTAGTTCTATGACTAGCTAACTGGTTTTCTCAGTGTATGCAATATATCTGGTTCATCTCAAGTGATTATTACAATACTTCTTCGCGCAGTACAATTTCATTAGAATCGATCAATCATGTATATTTTTATACTTCATATGCCTTTTATAATCCTCTTGATCATTGAAGAAACATGAACGTTCAACGCCAGGTCATTGTTTTGTGTCAAAATCAAGAACTCTAATACGACATATCTGGGACAATCAAATTGTATACAAAGAGTTTCTCTAAAACATTTTAGTTCGTTCACCATGCGACGTAAACGACAGTGGATCACGCGTGATATATTTCTACGACTACGAAAACAGGGTAATTTCATGGAGTATGAAATTTCATTGACCATTTCACACATGACTTTTTCTACCAAAATAAATAAACAAAGTCAGAAAAAGTTTTTGGAAAATTTCTGAGGAGACTCGACAGAGAAGACCCTTGACGAAATATTTTTACTCGAGAAGAATTTGTCAAGTATGTCGTTTGATGCAAGTTAGATCACGAATTTAATGTTTTGTTTCCAAGGAAAACGCTTGAGAACTGAAAAATTTTAAAATATTTATTAAGAACCTGATAAGGTCTCTGAAGAGTTTTCCTCTAAAGGACTCTCAGTTTTTTACCATATACGTATAGTTGGAAATACGTGTGCCGTCCTACATATACATTTTAAACTGTTCTTACAGAACGCCAGTCAGACAACGCTTGAGTCAAAATTTCAATTTTGTTCGACTTGTCGTTTAAGTCGCAGAGTGATGATTGATCCTTTATGTATTTATAGTAGCTCAATTCTAATATTGAGGACTAATATTAGGAATGTGATAAAAGTTACGTAAAAAGCGGTGTGATAAAATTCAAAACTGACAAAATTTGACTTGATAAAAATAAAATAAAAAGTAGAAAACTTATCAGATCAAACATTGAAACTGACAAAAAATGAGTGACGTATTTGATCACATATAAATATTTGCTCACATCTTTGATTAATCTTTTTTCCTTACATAGGAACAAAATTATCCGCTCATATTTATGAAAGAAGTTTTTGATCGTTTAAATTAAATAGTTATCAATACAAATAGAATGTCGTTTAAGAAATGCAACCTGACAAAAAATATTTACTCTGGAAATTCCTCTTAAAATAGAATCCTTTTTTTTAATAGAATAAATTTTATCTAAACTTCAAAATTTACAGAAAATGTGCAGTTTCAATTGATAGTGGGTCAGAAAGTCTTCCTAATTAAGGGTACCCCCCCCTCTTTTTTCACCTTGTTGCCAAATACGGAGCACATGTCCGATCGAGTTCAAATTTATACGAGAGATAGAAGAGCGAAAAGAAAATCGATATATTTCTGCTCAGAGTTTTATGACATGATCTTCCATGAGTTTTCTGGAAAATTCGAGTTTTCATCCAGTCACATTATGACCCCTCGAAAAAATGGAGATCGAAAGATGGAGTCGAAATTTTTACCACAGATACTTCAGACCCTATCTCAGAATGAAATTTGTTTTTGAAAAATATTCTTTTCTTCTCGAGATGTACGAAAACTACACAACTTTGTGTAGAATCAGATTTAAACCAAAGATGTAATAGAACTAATAATACCTCTGCTCGGAAAATCGTTCTTTATATACCTGAAGGCGTAGATGATCATATATATAAAGTCAAAGAGTCTTATTACGATTTTCTTTTCGCTCTTCTATCTCTGGTATAAATTTGAACTCGATCGGACATATGCTCCATATTTGGCAATAAGGTGAAAAAAGAGGGAGGCGGGTACCCTTAACTAACGCCATTCATGGAATATGGAACTTGACTATTTCACACATGACTTTTTCTATCAAAATAAATAAATAAAACAGAAAAAAAATTCGGAAAATTCTTGAGGAGACTGCAAGGAGAAGACCTTTGACGAATTTGATCATTGTTTCGAAGGAAAACGTTTAAGAACTGACAAAATTTGACGTGAAAATAAAAAGTGTAAAATAAAAAGTGAAAAAATTATCAAATCAAGGGATTCAAACTTAAAACAAGAAATGAGTGAAAACTGTGTTTGATCACATATAAATATTTGCTCATATCTTTGATCAATCCTTTTCCCTTCATAGAAACAAAATTATCCGTCCATATTTATAAAAGAAATTTTTGGTCGTTTAAATTAAATAGTTGTCAATACATATAGAATGTCGTTTAAGAAATGCAACCTGACGAATCGAAGCTTCAAAATTTACAGAAAATGTGCGGTCTCAGTCGATAGTGGGTCAGAGTGTCTTTCTAATTAACTAAAGTAAGTTTAAAGAGCTAATCTTGAAAAGGGATATCAGGAATATTCAATAAAGGACATTAGTTGGGGAAATAAGAGAGTAAAATTGATACTTTGGACAGGGAGGAAGGACGTTATCTGAAACACGTATGGATGACTCTAACCGCAGACAGGTATCTAAAGTAATTCAACCACATGTTTCAAAATAGAAGACGTCTTCCAGCGCATATTTTTTGCAAAATTGCCTTTCTCCTTTTACAAAGTTTTTTTGAAAAAAAAACAAGAAAAAGGTTGTTTTTGTTTGAAGTTGCGACTATCTTAAAATCGTTCGGATGTCACTCTAAAAAAAAAGGTGTTCGTTAGGTTTTCAAAGAGCTGAAAAATCTATGGAAATGTTGTTCTTCATTTATCTCAAATAGAGAACTCAAATTCTGTTCTTCAGCTCTCAAGAACTCACAATTCTCCAAAAGGAGAAAAAAATCAGTTTTTCAAAACTGAAGAACGCCTTTTTTTAGAGTGTACTCTCAAAGGGCACAGGGAAAAGATCCAGTGAATACCTTGCCCTAAAATGCTAATCACAAGTTTCTAGACTTTCGTCCCAGGATACACCCGATGATATCATATGGTATCTGTGCACACGTATAG